GGGTCAGGAGAGGTCTGCCAGGCCATGTGGATCTCCTCCGGGGCAGGTGGGGATCGAACCCATGCGAAAGTGACTTAAGCTTCTTAGTGCAGTGCTTTAACCTGCTGCGCAGTCAGGGAGGGCCCCGGATCTATCATTTTTTAATTGAAGAGTTTATAGTAAATTATTGTCAGCCTTTCAGGGAAAATCAAAATGGAAAATAAAATGTTGGCTGGCATATAAGTAATATTAATAAATATTTCTTTCTCTAGCCATGAATGAATCATAAAATCTCAAATCTCTTCTTTTTCAGGATTTCAGATTTACAATGATATGGTAAATCCAAAGGCTGGAACCAAAGGTTTTCTCAGCTCTTTAGTTTGAACAACAGTGAACTTTCTACCCAACACTCAGAATGGCTAAAAGTGCAGAGGTCAAACTGGCGATATTTGGGAGAGCAGGTGTGGGCAAGTCAGGTAAGTGTTTGTTGTGGCTGGAGTATATATATATATATATATATATATATATATGTGTGTGTGTGTGTGTGTGTGTTTGCTTCCTGGACTGTGTGTGTGTGTGTGTGTGTGTGTGTTTGCTTCCTGGGAGTGAATGGAATGCTGGTTGGCATGTCTTATATCCTCCTGTATTGCTCTTTTAGATGAAGTCTCCTTATGTGTGTGTAACTTTTATTTTGCATAAACAACTTTTATGTACTTTTGCCTATTTATGATAAAGTAGCTCCATTGATAATACGCAGGGCTATCTTGTCAGTCTTGGAATTCTGAGGAGGGAGATTATACAAATCTCCAAAGAAATAAGATTGTGGGAATTAAAAAATATTTTTGCTGTTTATTCTTGATGATATCCTGAGGGGCCAATTTGATATTTCATTATAGCTTGATATTCTCAGTCACCAGCCCAATGTTAAGCCTTTGTTGCATATTTAATAAATGCCTGTGAAATGGATAGATCTTTACAAGAAACCGAACTGCATCATGGCCAAACAATTCTAAAGTTGGTGAGGACTGGCAAAAACTGAGACTGCGTGACCTCAAGTAAGACAGCTATTGCCAGCACTTCTGGGGTGAATTTAAATGACCAAATTCTGCTTCACATTGGTCATTCAAAGACTTTCTATTCCCCACTTGAGAAAAGATTTGAAGTTCTTTAAGAATAAGGGTGAAGTTAATATGTATTGAATTCAATTTGAAACATATTATCTGATTTTATAATTAAAGAATATTAAAGTAGATGTTGCTTTTAAAAAAAATTTCAGGTAATGTTGCATGATCTCTGCTGAAGGAAACAGTCATAACTAATTGTATATCAAACTTCTGGCTCTTAGGAAGGGATTCAAACAGGTATCTAGCAGTGTGTGTTGATAGAGGGAAAACAGTTGGGATCATCCAACACAACAGATAATCCAAATAATCTTAAAGAAAAACACATATGCAGCTTTTAATTCTGTGGTGACCTTTCCTAATCTGCTCTCTGGTTTGATTTCAGCAGTTAAGTCTTCCCAATTCCAAGTATTTTCCTCTCTCTCTTTTTTCTTTTTTTTTTCTCTGCCATCCATTTCCCTTTTTTCTTGCTGCTGCTCTCGCCTCTGGCAGAATCCATGCAAAGAAAATAGATAGTTGGCCAAGCTGAGAAAATGCCAGCCTTCCCAGATGGAAGATAATTCTACTCCTCCCCATTAATCTCCTCAGTGTTTCCCGATGGCGTGAGAACCTAATTTCTGTAGTTGGTGGAAGGATCTGGAGAATGAGGAAACTGTTCCATGAGTGGAGGATGGAGGAAAGGGAGTGGGTGGGAAGGTCTTTGCTGCCAACTGCAGCTTGTTTAAACCCTCTGAGTGAAGAGGGTCTAGACCCAGGGCTGGCTCTCAATTGCCCAATTCATTCAAAACTTCCCACAAATGATAAGCAAAGGGGGATTCTAACCTTCTACTCTTTACCAAAATAAACTCTACATGGTTTTAAAAGCTAAACATAAAAATGAAAAATTGGTTGAGGAAGCCCTTAGCTGAATGTGCATCTATTCCTTTTCCTTCTCTGCCATTCCAGGGCTAACTTGTACCTTCTTGTATCAACACTGATCCATCAGTCTGAGCTCGGACTTCAGTTTCCTTTGTCTTCCCCCAAATCATTCCAAATATTATTTCTATTCTTTTCCTCATTTTCCTTTAAACTTTTCTTGGTCCACTGCCCCACCCTTTACTTTTTCTCTTTCCAAGCTTATTGAATGTGGGCACTGCCTTTACTGTCTTATTCATTACTTACGACCTGGCCATCTTCCATTGTAATCCTGCTACTGAAATGCATTTCTAAGGTCACACTGATCAATAACCAACAAATCCAATGAACGTTTCTCAGTTCTGATCTTCTGAGGCTTCTTGTTAACATTTCAACACAACTACTGACTTTCCAAAAAGTATTTCCTTTCCACGTTCCTCTGATATCACAGTCCTTGGCCTTCCTGTTCTGTTGCCATTACCCTTAACTGGGTGTCTTCCTCTGCTCATCCCACAAACCAGAGCCTATAGTGCTCCCACACCATCTTCTTGTCTCATTCTGTTCCTTCCTTCTGGCTGAGTCCACACACCTATGCTGAAGGTAACCACACATGTGGAGTACAAGTTCTGCTGGCCTTGATTTTATTTTGTGTAAAGTGCATGAGATGAATGTGTTCAAGAAATCCTTTCCCACCCTAAAGTTCCATACTTCTGAATTCCTGAATCTTCTTTCGACTGATTTTCTGTCGTGCTTACATACACGCAACCATGTTTGCTTACTTTCATTTAGGTGAAAATGTTGATGGCAAACTCCGTGCCTTTAAACAACTGCCCCTCTATTAGTCGCCTGCATATAAACAGGTTTTCCTATTTCCAGAGAGTGTTTTCCTGAGACCGTATAACCACTTCCCAATTTAAAAAATAGTAAGGCTTGACTTAGGCAAGGGAGGAAGACCTTTTCCCATATAGTTCAGTGAAAGCAACCACAGACATGTTCGGGTCTATCAACTGTGAGACTAGACTGTAGCTAGACAGAATTCATGTTATGATTTGGTATGAATATGGATATAGGGTGTCCCTGCCTACATATTTCCACATGTCCACATCCTTGTAGTACAGAGAAGTCGGTCTTTTATGAGTAAGAAATAACACCTGCTGGAATGTGATAGCACTCAAGTGTTTACCCCAAATCATCCTGATCTTCCTCTGGCAAGATCAAATGAGCTGTTCCTCTGCAAATACCCAGTGGCAGCAGCCTCGCTAGAGCCAGCCTGGAAAGGTGAAACAGGTCTCTGCTTTCGAGGGGCGTCTTGGGTGAACTGCTTCAGCAGTCTCAGTTCGCACCTTTCTCCACATTCAATACCAGATTGGAACTTGGGGTAAATAACACCAGACTGCTCATCTGCTAGCAGAAACTAGTATAACGGAGTCAGGAGCATGAGTGCTGCAGTCACACTGTGAGGTCTTGCTCCCAATTCTGCACTTTATTTGCTGTGTGAACTTGGCAACTTCGGTAAAATACTTAACGTCTTGATTTTCTCAAATGGAAGGGAATATAAGAAGGTCTATTTTAAAGAGTTGCTGTCAAGACTGAATGTGTTAAAAGGGCACCTGGCACCTGGAAAGGGCTTGAGGCTCAGGTTACCATCATTTTTGAAATATACTCATTTTAATACATAAGCTGTAGGGAAGCACACAGTCAAGGATATATTTACATGCAAGTAAGTATTTTGCTTCTCAGTAAAGGAAGCTTGCAAAAGAAAATCTTTGCATTGCTCCTTAGCACACCCTCAAAACATACTTGTGTGCATGTGAGAACACACACACACACACACATTCTCTCTCTCTCTCTCTCTCTCTCTCAGTCTCTCTCACTTGAATCCAAAATCTGATTCATGTCCATAGAGTTTGCCTACTGGTGATCATAAGACTTCTCGTGGCATATCTTGGACAGCAATAAATATGCTAATAACATCAATAAATGAACACACTGACATTTGGAAGGACTTACAGTATGTGGTAGATGGATTTGCAAGCACTGGTAACAGGTACACTATATTTAAAAGAGAATGTTAACAATAACCAGATCAGGACTGTATGTGCATGTCAGCATGGACAAAATTTAATAGTGTGCTATTACTAAGGAGCACTGGTAACATGAATAGAGGGGTGTAGTCCATGGCCTTTTGTGTTGAGAGGATTCTTCTTCTTTCTGTCTAACAGTACCTAGCAGTTCTGCCTTAAAGTGAGTTTGCTTGCTGCCTTAGGCACTTGCTGACTTAGCATCCCCACTCTGGGGAAGCTGCAAAGTACAGCACCGTTATTTTCCCGTCCTTTCCATCTTTTGTCCAGCAAGGTCAACATTTCCCTTCACTGGCTAAAGGTAAATCACATAGTAACAAGCACAACAGGATTTCTGTATTTGTATGTATGAGGCTGTAAATTGTCAGACTCCAAGTAATTAAAACAATCAGACCTGCCATAAAACCTAAAGTGCACACCACATTTATTTAAATGTTTCCTGGATTCACATTATTCAAATTTGTAGAAAATGTAGGAGGGACTGAGAGAAAAACAAATCAAATTTTAAATTTAGTTTCACTGCTGACATTCTTATTTCAAGATTGAAGTACTGTGTGCCATAGCTAAATATACTTTTTGAAAGGGCTAGTCTCAATGTTAATTGAGTAACGCTGTCCTCTAACTCAAAAGCCAATTGATGCACTCACCCATGAAGGTTCAAGTTCATAGACTTGGATTGCTGGGTTATAAATTGGGTGTCAAACACAAAGAAGCCTGTAATTTTTTTTCCCTTGGCACAAAGAGAAATGATTCCCCCCCCCTTTTTTTCCTTGTTCTTACCTGTTATTTGTTCTCTAAATTATAAAAAGTTTTGAAAAGTTTCTTTCATTTTCATTTTAAATGACGTTTCTATTAAGCATCCAACACTCCCCTAGCATATCCGTGTACTTTAGAGCTAGTGGATGTTTATGAGCTCTCATAAATATTATTCAAAAACAAAAACAAAAACAAAAACAATACCAACAAGCATCTTGGCTAGTTCAGTTTCCTATGATATAACATTCCTTTGTGTTTCAGAACTTTTTCTCTACTGAGGTAAATATATTCCAGTCAACTCCCTTTATTCAAACAAATTGGGCAGGATAGTGATTCTTAAGTATTGCTGTCAACGTACTTCAAAGGGGAAAAAATGAAAGATTTAGATATTTTGGGTTTTGCAAAAATTTCATTGCACTCATGTCATTTTTGACATGTTCTGTTAATTATATAAAATATTTGCAGAACTTAACATTAATCTATAATACATATTTTTTTTATGTAAAATTATCCTCCCTGTAAAACCAGTGACTGTAATGGACTCCTTGGGAAAATGCATCAAGCTGACCCATGTTTCCAGTAACAGTTGGGCTTCAGGTCCAGTTTGATGACCACAGTGATGGA